CAGTAAACTGACACATAAGGTGCAAAGAGACTCAAAGTTTCCTCAAAAAGAGCAAATTATACGAAAACGACCTTGTGAAGCACTCATTTTACTCTCAAATAGCAATTCATATAGCAAGGGCCCCATTAATGCTAGAATTGCACAACCTGACCAGTTCCGGAATCTTCCTCGAGGGAATTCAGCAACACATCTAATGCCCCCTCCTCTCCGCCCAAGGAAAAGTGACGCACATGCATCGAACAGGCGGTGGATATTACTAACAGTGGGCACATAGTCCAGGATCAAGGGCTTAACATATGGAAGCATCACCGCTAAAACAGAATATTCTCTGATAGTCCCGGCAGTCTCGGTACTCTTGGTATCTAGTGACCGAGCGGATAAACGAACTGGGGATGGGGGCAGAGAGAGAGAGGGAGATGTCTTTGCACAAAATGTTTTTTTTTTTTTCTGGAAAAAGATTGGGTGCTATACAAAAGTCACTAAATGAATCTCCTGAATCGTGAACAAAACATACCTGCAAACCCGTCCTTGTGTTTACTGTACATACTTCTATAGGTGTATTCAACGAGGACACTCCAGAATCCCGTGATTCATCGGAATCACGACGCTTCCTGAGATGAGATGGCCACTGCGTCGGGTCAATTCGTGGATGGTAATTCAGTGGCAATGCCATTCTGATCAATGCAAATAAAAATGGATGTGAACAAGAAGACGACTAGCATGAGGACTTTTCCTACTACCAAAGTTTAGTCAAAGTCCCCTCCCCCTCCTCCACTCGTAGGTCTGCAAAATAGCCCAACTGGCATCACGTGCTACCAAACAACCGCTCGCCGGCACACTGCCAATGCCTCACCTCTCTCCAGGGTTGCTTAGAAGCAAACTGATAGTGTGTTTAACTGTCTGGCACGCGCAGACAGCTGTTTACCACCGAAACAAGTACAATGCGCCCTTCTGCGCAACAATGCGAGACGGTACCCTTCGCTTCACCTCCCGCGCTGCCACTGCGCCCTTGCAGTGAGTGCATCCAGCAATCTTCATGGCACCTGCACAAAGCACTTTGAACGGCACATGCTAATTCGTGTGAAAACAACAGGACGTGGTCACGCTGGAACCTGGGAGTGCGGAAGAGGTACTGATGCATGTCAGGGAGTGAAACTCGCCATCGGCCTAACTGCAAACAATCTTCGATGGTCCTGGCACAGCGGTCACTCCTGCGTGCCACACCCCTCCACAATGAGTACAAATCCAGTTCAAATAGGAGCCACGGTTTTACTGCAAATTATCATTCTCAGACTCGGCCACTTCTGCTGCTGCCAATGGGGCTTGGGATGAGACTGTGGATAGATCTCAGAGTGGTGGAAGAATTCTTGCATTCGAGCTCTGTGCGGGACTGGAGACCACGCAAAATTTTCACTTCCTAGTTTTGGCAATTCCGGGACTGAATTATCCAAAACGCTTTCGCACACTTCCATTGGCGAATCTCCGGCGGTGCATTTTTCGATCAGAAATTAGCCACAATCATGTTATTATTCCCATGTTTTGAGGTAATAATGTAAATTTATTCTCTCGGATTAGAGGTAAAGTTATTACTTCATAAACACAAGGTGTAAATACTAACGAAGCCTTTCCGTATTTCACTGCCCGTGAGAGACAAAGACATGCTGATATAGGACCGAACGGAATTTCACTAAGCAATTACATTCTAGCGGCGTCCAGTTTGTACCAAGCACTACAGCGCTAATTAATACCTCAACAAGCCAATGAATCGTTTAGGCTTATTTTCATTCTGCTC